CTGAAGAAGCTTCTCGGATGAGAGGTGAAACGTCTTCAAGCAACTTAAAGAAGTCCAGACGCTTTTCTTTGCAAGCTCCTTTGACCACTATATTGTCAAACTCATTTCTTTTTATTTTATTATCATTGTTATTTTTACATTTCAAATACAGCTTTTGCTCAGATGGTTCCCACTGGACTTCAGCTCTTTGAATATAGCTCCGTCTCAATTAATTGTGAGGGTCTTAATCCCAAAACTGGATGGACTGTAAAGAGGAGATGAAAAGGAGAAGTCAGTGCATGTGTCAGACAGACGTACTTGTTGTCACCGAGTTGGGTGACAACAAATACGTCTGTCTGTGCCATCAAACCTGTTTATCTCACAGAAAGTGGGGAATACTGGTGTGAGAATTGAAATGAGAGGAGCAACACTGTCAACGTCAGTCGCTGGTAATATGCATTTATGTAAAAAAATATATATATATTTTTGTTAATTAGCTGCAATAAATCTAAGCTGAAATGTAAAGGTAAATTAAAGAATAGAGAAATTATAGTAAAACTAAAACAAGTGGGAGAAAAAAGGTGCTCTATCTGGACAGGTATACTTTGCTACCTTTCAGAGCTGCCTTAATTCCTAATGGGATAGATTTCAACAAGGTGCTGGAAATATTCCTCAGAGACTTTGGTCCATAGTCAATTCAGTTCAATTCAATGTTATTTATAACACCAAGTCACAACTACAATTGTCCTAAGGCGTTTCTTATTGTAAGGTAAAGTGGATTTGTTTGATGTGAATGTGAAATTTCCATTCTGCAACATCCCAAAGGTGCTCTGCAGTCTAAAATGCTTTGTTACATGGTGTGTTGTCCTGTTAGATGGATTCATCATACAAATAAAGGAATAGTCATCATCAATACAAAAGGTGTGCCAAGAAATTATTCCACACACTATTATACTGCAAGCAGCAAGCAAAACTGCTGATACAAGGCAGGATGGATCCCTCTATCTAGATATCACAGCAGAAATTAAGAGTCATCAGATCAGTTCTAATTTTTGTGAGCCTGTGTAAATTGTGGCCTCACTTTTCCTCGTCTTAGCTGATAGAAGTCGCTTCTTTTTCTGTAGCCCATCTGCTTCAAGGCTCAGTGTGTATTCAGAGATGGTCTTTTCTAAAGCTTAATTGAAATAAGTAATTATCTTGTTACTTTTGTTTCCCAAACCACTTGAATGAGTCTGTCCTTTCTCCTCTGACCTCTGGCATTCACTTTTCTTTTTTGGATCAGTCTCTGTAAACCCCAAAGATGGTTGTGCTGGTAATGACCCAAAGCATAGTCAAGCTCACTTAAATAACATTTTTTCCCTATTCTGATGCTCAGATTGAGCTTCAGGTAAACTTGGCCACTATCCAGTGCCTTTATACACTGAGTTGCTGTCTTGTGATTAACTGATAAGACATTTGTTTTAATGATGAACACATTAAACAAACTGACAACATTTAGTCATAACAGCTGACTTTCAGTAATGTGTGCTTATGTTTAAGCTGGAGCTGTGATCCTGGAAAATCCTGTTGTTCCTGTGAAGGAGGGAGAAGTCGTGACTTTTATCTGTAGAAGTACCATGGCCCCTTTTGCCCACATAGCAGATTTCTTCAAAGATGATCGACACATCAACAGCAGCTCCACAGGCAAGATGACCATCAGCACAGATTCTGAGTCTGATGAAGGGCTTTATAAGTGCAATATCTCAGAGTTTGGAGAATCTCCAGAGAGCTGGCTGGCAGTCCGAGGTGAGATATGAAGATGTTTTACTTTTAGGCTCAATTAAAAAATAACTTTAAAAGTCACAGCAAAATTATAAGGCAGTAAAACTAAAAAATGTACTTCTCAAACATCAAATATTAAAAGAAAAAATAACAAACTATAATAATGAATTATACATGTTTTGTTTTCTTGCAGCCCTTCACAAAACTGCTCGAACTGCTCAAACCTACTCACAGAACTCTTGCCATTGTCATAAGGACTATTTTCACGGTAATCATGGTAGTTCTGACTTCTTTACTGTGGAAATATATGCGTTACAAAGAACTGACTCAAACTCACTTCACCAGAAAAATAAAATCATTTCTGGGGTTTTATATCTTACCAAATAGAAAAAATCTAACAAGAAACTTTTGCTTTGCTTATTTATTTCTCTAATCTTCTCTAAGACAAAAGGTTATGGTTTCATAATTTCAGGTATTAGTTCAGGTAATTTTTTTCCTGATCTTAGAGGAGCACATGTGACAGCTATTACTGTACATAATAAATAGCAAGATGTTTCAGAGTGTCTGTTCAGTTACCACTTGAAGAAATGATCAAACAGTCACAAGTGAAATCAACCAAGCTACATCTGCTACAACTGTTTGTGTCATGGTCTGCCAGAGTGTGTGTGGAGGACCCAGGTGCGGACACAGGCAAGAAGATGGAATTAACTCGAACAAAAAGCTTTATTTGGTGTTTATACACATGAAACATTAATCAAGGCAAGAAACAAACTTGAGCAACAACTAGATTGTGAAGACTAAGACTAAATAAAGAAAACTTTGAATAAACTATGACACTGTGACCAGACTATGATGACCATTATCACTATGAATTAACTATGCGTTAACTATGACCATGTGACGAAGAACAAATGGAGACACACAGACTAAATACAATGGAGGCGATGAGGGAACGGGAAACACATGGGGACACAGCTGATACAAATTAGCGTGAGGACACCACAGGGGAAAGTGAAACTAAAACAATGAACACAGAACACAAAACCTCTTCAAAGTAAAACAGGAACCATAAGACACAGACATGACATGAACTTGACAACAAGACAACAAATGACAGACATGAAACCTGACAAGTAACTACATGAACCAACAAGGGAGACTAAATCTCAGGGGGTGAATAACAAAAGGGATCTGATAGCAGAGAACTAAAAACTGAACAACCTAGGGGCTTAAGACAACCAGATGATAGTAACATAACTTCCATACTAATATAGGGAATCAATGATACGTAATAAATTCAAAAGTTTGGGGGTGAAAGGAGAAAGACAGGACAAAAGGCTGTGGAAGTGAGCCAGAGATTAGATTGATAACAAATAATAATTAATGGTGACTGGAAAAAAGATAATTGAAGAAGAGACACAGTGTGTCATAGGAAGCCCCTAGCATCCTAGGCATAAGTAACATAAGGTTCATGGTAATCTGATCCAGCCCTAAATATATACTTAGGGCCGATCATTCTTGCATTTGTTTTTGTTTTATTATAATTAATTGCAATTCTCAGACATACAGTAAAAAAAAAAAGTCACTGGACATATTACACCATAAATCAGTTCTAGCATTTTTTTTGTCTGCAGTTATGACAATTATATTATTTTTGCTTTAGATTTCAAAACTGAAAATAATCTAATAATTAAATTCTGCAGAATAACCACATCAAATCATCTCCATAATACTTCAGGTATTTATGCACTCACAAACATAAAATTTATAAAATTATTTTAAATAATAGCAAATATAGGATATTTCAGCAATTGTAATTCCAGCATTGCAAGCATATTTAGAAGTGCTGGAGGAAGAAACTGCTGACATAATTATGCTGTATATCAGCTGGATGATGTGCTTGTATTATTAGAGTTTAATGTATGCATGAGTGTAAAATAAATAATGACATGGTAAGTGTGGAGAAAAAAAATGATCTGAGCAAAAAGTAAACACCGTTATATTGTTGATGGACAGTATACAATATAACAATAATCAAAACACTTAAACTAATCTAAAAAACATTTTCTGAGCTAATGCTGAGTTTGTTCTTATCTTTGGTGGAGAGACGTTGGAGAAAGGATGAGCGCAACTAGATCTGAAGATGCACTTATCCCCATGCTCTGAGTTAATGATAATCACCCAACAGGAAAGCAGCTGGGCATTGAGTGGAAGTATGATGTAACTCAAAATCCTTCCGAATTAACCATCTAACAGGCAAAACTGAGCAGATATTTTAGCAGATATAAATTCCAAAATCAATTCACACTTTGGACTTTTACCCTTTTTAGTGTTCCTGCTAGAATTTTCACCTCTTAGATCCAATTTTCTGAACTGCTCATCTCACAGAAGACAAAAGGAAAGAACCCAGAGTCTCTTTTACACCCCATTTTTGTACCTGTTCACCCTTTCTCCCCCCTTTCCTACTGGGCATCACATCTTCACATTTTGAACATCCAATCAAGTTGTTGACATTTTATCATCCGCTGTCCACCCACACCTTATCTGTCACTCTCTGTCTGTCTGACTTACATGATTTAACACAAAGTTTGTACTTTTTAAACCTTTAAAATCAACTCATTGCATTTTCTTTGTTATTCTTAACATGAAGAATTTGAGGGACGTTTTAACATGAACATTTGATGCAGCATAATCCCTCTTCATTTTAAATACAGAGGGATACTTTCTTTCACCTTTTTAAAATCTGTTAATTAACCTTTTTTACTTTCTATTTATTTTAATAACTTATTTTATTGAATCATACATTTTGTAGTCAGACATTTTCTAATATAATTGGCCCCAGGCTGTCACTTTCACCC